ACTTGCAGCACAAAGGCTGATTCTGCCCGGAGTGGGGGTGTTCCTGAGTCAGTGGCTGTCACCCGCAAATCATAGGAGTCTCTTTCTTCCCGATCCAGAAGCTGGTCTACACAGATCAGGTAGATGATGTTGTCCTTGGTAGTGAGGGCAAACTTGCCATCCCCTCCCTCCAGGGTGACATTGACATTGGAGTACTCGCCATAGTCTGGGTCTGAAACAGAGATGCGTGCCACATACTGGCCTGGTTGGGCTCCCTCAGAGATCTGAGGGGAGCCATCTTCGCTCAGGAAGATGATGGTCATGGTAGGCTGGTTGTCATTGTAGTCACGCACATGAATGGTGACAAAGGCAGTGGTAACCTCAGGATGGACAGCCTTATCCCGTGCCTGCACCACCAGCTCATGCACCTTCCTTACTTCGTAATCCAGACCCTTGTTGAGCTTGATGACTCCGGTCCGGGAGTCGATGGTGAAGTACTGGTCAGGATCACTCTGCCGCCGGTTGATCTCATAAACCACGTCCCCGTTGTCACCTTCATCTGCATCAGAGGCAAAGACCTGCAGGATGCTGCTGCCGGGCTTCAGATTCTCCGAGATGAGAGTGTGATAGCGGCTCTGGTTGAAGGTAGGGGCATTGTCATTGATGTCCTGGATAGACACATCCAGTGTCATCTGGGTGCTCCGGGGAGGAGAGCCACCGTCATAGGCTTCGAGCAGTAGGGAGTACGATGAACGGTTCTCCCGATCCAAGATGTTGCTGACCACCAGGTCCAAGTACAGGACCCCATTGGGTCCTCGGCGTGTTTCCAGGCGGAAGGCCTGCCCTACGTTCTCTCCTTTAATCACGTAGCCTTGGGTATTGAGCAGGCCACTGTCAGCATCGAAGGCTGGGTCCAAGGGGAACCTACTGCCTATAGGTGTATGCTCTGGGATCTGGAAAGTGCTGTGTTGCTTGGGAAAGGCTGGGGCATGGTCATTGATGTCATTAACTTGGATGTTCACTTCTACCGTGATGCCCTCTGGGGTAACAGCAATGAAGCTGTATCGGTCTCGGGTTTCTCGGTCCAGGACACGGGCTGTTTTGATGATACCTGTGTTCTCATCTATCCCCAAGTCAGTGGTAACACCACTGCCCTCCTGTGCTGAGATAAAATACATGTAGGCGCTGGTGCCAGGAGGTAGGCCAGCACTGATGTCCCCAATGATGGTGCCGGCTGGCTGCTCCTCGTCTATTTGTAGATCCAAGGTGCCCAGGACAGCAGAGCCCTTCCCTGTTCTCAGGCCCCCGAGAATTAGCAGCTCCAGCAGAAGCATGGCTGATCCCTTCATCTGCTGCATTGCTAGTGACTTGCAGAACAGCGGGTGGCTCAGTCTCCTTTGCAGTGTGTTCTTTAATCCTGCAAGGAATGCAGATCAGAGGAGGCTGGTTAAAAGGGAGCAGCAAAGGAAGGACAGAAAAAAAAACACATGGGGATGGAAGGCCTGCCAGGTACCCGTTGCTTGATTGCACTGCATCACCTATCCCTCACAAGGACCCAAGGTGAAAGGGAGTTAGAGCAGAGTGTGCCCGTAAGGAAGGCCTGGGACAGCACCTAAAGTAGGATGAGCAGCGCACACCTAAAACAGTGTGCTGAGATTACTGGCTGATACACTACTCACATAGGCCAAGCGTTCTTCTTAACCACCAGCCCTCACATTTTAACCACTGCTGGCAGCACTGGAGCCAGCTGCCCTAGAGCAGAGGCTTCCCATGGCTCTAATAGATGAATGTTTCCTGCAAGGCTGAGAGCGGCTGTCTGCAAGACTGCAGAGATCTTTGAACAAGTAGTAGCCTAGCACCTCTCCACCCTGAAAAAAAAATGGTCTCAGACTGGGAGAGAGCCCAACAAGTGACACTCATTGAAACCCCCCAGTAGCATGCCTTTCAGGACCACAGGGATTTAGCTGCCAAAAACATGAAGTGCAAATCTAGTGTTCCTGGGAGGGGGCAGCAGAACTAGAGCAGGCTTCCATCCAGCGGCCCATAAATCATAATGGCTCTGTTGCCAAAGATGTACCCACAGCTGGGAATGCCCAGGCTAAAATCCCATCCTCCTAGGGCTCATTGTTCGGCCTGGCACAGAGATCTGTGGATGCCCCAAGCGGTACCATGGAGGGTGGTGGCAGTACAGCAGGAACGCAGCAACTCACTCTGAACTGCCAGCTGCTCTGGCTCCTTCCTGGTCCCACACCCTCCACTGCTCACTCTCCTCCTTTGTCTCCTTCTCACTGCTCCTTGCTCATTCTGGCTCCTTCACTCCATTTCCCCCTGCCGTAGCTTCTTTTCACTGCAGCAGTGGGGGAGGGACGAGCAGGGAGGAGCAGCTCCCTGCAGCAACACCACCACTGGACACGCTGGACACTCTCCCAGGGCCCAAAAGCTGCCAGCCCCCAGGGCTCTGCTCGCCCTCCCCATGAGTAGCCAGAGCAAGTCAGCAGCCAAGGAGCTTGCAAAGCACACCAGTCCCAGCGCTGCTTTCAGCCCCCGGTAAACGAGGCTTAGTGGTCTGCAGGGATGGCGGCAGCATGAGCTCACACTTGGACTCTCTTGAAAGCATTTGCTGCTGGTCCCATAACCACACTCAGGAGCCGTTCATGTCAAACATGGGATGGCAGGAACCTCCTTGTCTTGGGGGTTGGAGGTGGCTTCCATTGCCTAGTTTGGGGACTAAGAATGGCAGCCCTTGGTCTAAAGAGGCCTACAGCAGTATTAACTCTTTCCAGAGAGCACAGAATGATTATTTCTGGGTCCTGCTTCCCACTCAGAACAGCTGTTTAGGGTGGACATTTGCCAGTGGAAATCCCAGGTTAGTGACAGGAAGAACAATCCTAAAGAAGCATTTCCTACATGTAAAGAAATGTTTATTTACTTCAGTGAGCTATAGAAACTAGAAACATGTACACAGCCAGTGCCTGAGGTCTAAGGTATGTAAATCCACACACTGTTCCTACACCTAGCTAGCACACCTGAATCCTCATTATCTCTCAGGAGCAGAAGTCAAAAGAAGATATTCATATCTCTGTGGGCTGCTAGCTGGGGATTTGCACTAACTCAGTGGTCCTGGACAGGCCCCGCTCTCCACTCTCTCTCTCTACTGTACTTAGTTCAACTTCCACAAAAGCATGCAGTGCTGGGGAAGTGGGGTTCAAGTCTGTTTCTGTGATGAAAACCATCCTAACTGTGATCCACCTGCTCAGGTACAGGAAGATACAGTGCAGAGGGTTTTAAGCCTTGCCAGGTGAGTAGACCAAAACCCAGGGAAAGGAGTGCAGTCAAAAGGAAAAGGAGGATCCAAAAAACAGTAAAGGAACAAGACTTCCTGTGGCAGTCTCAATGGCTCAGGGGACAACACGAAGCTGAAAGGTCTTGGGTAGTGCTTGCCACAGATCAGCGCATAGATATGAGAAAAAAAAATTGTTTGATTAGTGGTGAGCTTTTTGGGAAGCTGAAGGCAGTGCAGTAGGGTGTTGTGGGCTGCTTATGGGAAGAAAAAAAAGTTGGTAAAGTGAATCTGGGGAGCATGAAGAGCAGCTGAGACCACTGGAGCAACTGGGGAACAGACACTGGGGAACATTCCCTTTGGGCTGGGGAACTGGTGGTAAGTCTGCATAAACTTCTCCCTTTCCATCCTCCCTGGCTGCAAGTGGGTAGGTTCAGAGCCTAGCTACCTCATGGGTAAGAGATTTGACTGCCAGACTGCCAGATTGCGCCCGTCCAGGATGGACAGAAGGCCATCCATGGTGCTAGCAGCCCTCTGTTCCTATGAGCTTTGCGGGCTTGAGTCGGCAGGGAAGACAGCAGTGACCTCAGTAGATGCAGAGTCACCAAATCCGAACAGCTGCTTCCAATTAGCAGATAGCTCAGTGCTAGGGGCTGGCGCGGCTGGTCCAGGCCCAGCCCGTGTAATGTGAGACAGACTGCCCTGCTCCCTCTCTGTCCCTCCCACCACTGGGCACTGAGTTTCCTAGTAACAAATGGCAGCAGAAGCCTCTGCAGAAAATTGTTAGCATGAGAATCTGACTGGAGATGAGGTTGGGGTCCAGAGCCACAGCAAGGAGGTTGATAGGAAAGGTGGATAAAATGGAGTGGCCTGACACACACAGAAGTGTCTCCTAGCCTGGGGCTGATATGCTAGGGCTCCAGGAGAGCCAGGCCTATGATTAGGAGAGAAATCACATTTAGTAAATAAGATAAGGAATTATGGAAGGACCACTGCATGCCTCCATGCCTGCCTGGCAATGGCACCTCCCAACCTCCCATTTCATGTCTGCCATGAGGAAGGGGAAGCAGGCCCACACTGGCCCCAACAGAGAAGCTGGAAAGATGGCACTGACTGTGCATGCCACAGCCAGATGTCAGAGTCCTTGCTACACAAAAGCTCCACCAAAGCTACAGTTGCCGCTGATGCCATACCCAGAGCCTCACGTGAGAGGCCATGACTCATGTAATGATGTTTTTGAGACTCCAGTCCAGGTCAGGAAGAATGCAGAAGCCCATTTCAACTTTGTTGAGCAGCAGTTACTGTCCTGGAATATGCTCTTCTCTTCTACATTCACAGAGATTTCCTCTTTCTCAAGAGTTTCAGATTGTCTGCCCTCAGAGCCAGACGCAGCCCAGTCCTGCCCTCAGTGCAGCTCTATCACTCACTGTCAACCTCTACTCAGTCTGCCCAGACCTACAATCATCTCCCTGCCTCCTGGTCCTCCTACTACCACCTGCCTGGCTCTCCAGGACCAGCACCAAAATCACATCCCCTTCTGCTCCCTCCTAGCCTAGCCACACAGTCTCATTTCCCTCCAATATCAGCCCTGAGCAGCGAAAGCCATCCTTTCATGGTGACATGGTCAAGCTCCACTGCATCCCATTTCTGTGCCACACCAGGGCTTCCTGCAGGCTGCCCTGTCTCTGAAAATACTTCCCCCACAAAAGAAGCACTAATAAAAGCTCTTAATTCATTATCTAGCTCCCAGAGTACTGGCCCACAAGCACCTCAGTGCAGAGCCAACTGCTGCCACGCTGGATGCCCATCACAGAGGTGGCCCTGCTCCCTGTCTGTCAGGGCTCCCTGTCCCTCAGGACTCCAGGCTGTTGGGACTCCCTGGCCATCAGGCCCCTCCGGGCCTCCAGGCACCCTGTCTTTTGGACCTCCTCAGCCATCCAGACACCCCAGCAGTTGGAGAACTCCGGCTCTTGGAACTCCCTGTCCCTCAGGGCTCCGCAGACGTCGGGGCCCCCTGGACGTCGATGCTCCCTCACCCTGTGCACAGCTCTGCCCCCGGGCCCTCCCGCGGGCCCCGCACAGCCCCGGCCCCCTGCCGGAGCAGTGCCAGCCCCCACCGAGC